GTGTGTGCGCGCGCGTGTGAGCGTGAGTGTGTGTGTGTGTGTGAGTGAGTGTGTGTGTGTGTGTGTGTGTGTGTGTGTGTGTGTGCGTGTGAGCGTGCGTGTGTGTGTGTGTGTGTGTGTGTGTGTGTGTGTGTACATAACACTGGACCGAAATAAACGAGCTCTTTCACAAGAATAAAAAGCACTCACATTTCATTTTCATTTTTTTTATGGCCAACTTTATTGCATATTGCTACTGTAATTCTGATGCACAATAATGTAGTGAAATAATGTAAATAACAGATAGCTGTGGTCCTGATTGGATTGTGATGCTGATTGGTTGATCCAGTATTTCAAAGATATAATTAAAGGCTAAACTACTTTGAGCTAAAATATTTACTTTAAGATATTTCAGTTAACAACACATTCATGCAGGTAAACAAATAAAATATTTCATATTTTTGGTGTTTTAATTTGCTTCGTGTTTTATTTTAAAATTATTTATTTGCTTGTTTGTTTATTTTATAAAAATAAACAAATATTTATTTAAAAAATAAATAATAAAATTAAATGTAAATATATAAATTATTTTTTTTATCATTATAATCAAAAATATTAATTTATTCATTTTTTAAAAATTATTTAATTTATTTAATTCAATTTTTTCCCCCTCATCAACCCATGAACCCCAGTTTTGGAAACCCTGTGCCCATGCTTGAGACAAAAAATAATGCGTTAATGAACATATGTGTAAATGTTTTAGAAAAGCAATCAAATTGACACACGTTTTTTGTTTCTTTGTTTATTTCTCTTCTGGTTCCTCAAAGGTTGAAATTCCCAACATTCAGAAGCAAAGAAAACATTTAGCCAAACTGGTACTGGACATGGATTCTGCTCGTACACGGTGAGAAACACACACACTTATCTAGTTATCCAAACCGGGACAAACCCATAGACTTGCACTGTTTTTATGCAAAACTCTTTAGAATTACTACAGAATTAGTGATTTCTAGCTCATATTTCACCTCGAAAAGATATAATAACATATAATATGTTTACAGTTCATTTTAAATATAAAGTGCAACATGCAAAATGTAATTATAAGATTTGAAACTGCACAATGTGCATGCAACTTACATTGAGTTGCAAATCTTGCAAATTAAATGTATTAACCATTGGCAGTCGGATCAGATGAGACATTACTGCTGGTTCAGTCAAGTTAAACGCATTGCATTGTGGGAAACAGTAGCTCATGCAGTGTGATTGGTTGTATACTGCACATTTAGTCAAATCTAGTAGGTGATTTAGTAGGAAGATGTGTTTTTATTACGCCGTTCTCTCCTCTCAACCTCTAGGTGGCACCAGTCGTCCAAATCCTCAACTCTGACTAATAAGGACACGCCTACCGGGGCCAAAGCCGACGCCCTCAGGGAGGAGATGGAGGAGGCGGCCAATCGCATGGAGATCTGTAGAGTGGGTGGAGCTTCGCTCTCTCTCTGTTATTTCATGCATACAGACTGCACCGCATTCATAATGCATATTGTAAACATGCAACATCGAAGCATCATGTTTAATGTCAATGTTTTTCAGGATCAGCTCTCGGCGGACATGTATAGTTTCATGGCCAAAGAAATTGACTATGCAAACTACTTCCAGACGGTGAGTGCTTTACTCGTTCAGATGAACAGCCTGCCTTTTTATCGCTAACATCTTTCTGTCGCTCTGTTCAGCTGATCGAGGTTCAGGCCGAGTACCACAAGAAGTCTTTGGAGCTGCTCCAGAACGTTCTGCCACAGATTAAAGCGCAACAGGGTGAGAATCATGAAGAATCGGAAAAAGAAGGAACTGAATAAACCTGGAATCACAAGCAGATTGTAGACATTGGATTGTTTTTGTTTTAATATTATTATATATGAACTAATTATATATTATTTAATCATATAAATGTAATTGTATATTGTAAACGAATTATATATTAATATTATATAATGTAATTAAATTAATAATATTATGATTAAATAATTTTAATAATTTTATATTTAAAATTAATTATTATTGAATTTAATATTATATTATATTTCATCTTAATATTAAGTTATTATAATAATATTATAATAATTCTTTAATATTTTAATCACAACTATAATATTTAAAAATTTAAT